TGAAGGGCAATGTGACCACAACAGCACTCTCAGGGCCCTACTGTCACCTAGCCCACGTCAGACGCAGTGTCCCGTGGCAAGGAAGAGGGCTGTTCCAAACCCTCTTCACTGACCAGGAGTGGGGAAATCTGTGACAGGTGGCCACTTCAGAGGGAAGATGATCCTGAAAGGTTTTCCGCAGGAATCCAGTGCAAGCTCTGTACCTGTGTTGCATCCCTTTCCTGCTGCCTTTCCCAGCCCCTGCTTGGATCAGGAAAGAGTCCAGTAGTGGGTAAACCAACAGGTGGGCTCAGTCTGGGGACAAGGCATCAGCAAAGCAGAGCCACCAACCCCAAGCCAGTGAGAGTAATCAAGCTCCAATAAACTCTCCCAGAATTCCACAAACATCTAGAAAGAAACTCTTAATTTCAGAATTCCTGAAAGTTATATTTCACTCTTTGGGTATTACTCTATATTGTCAGTGAGGAGGGACTGATAATATTTTCAAAGCTAAGAGCCTCTAATGGTATTAATCTGATCCTGAACAAATCATCATTGTCAGTACTATGGGCAGTATGTGGTGAGCTGGGAGTATCCACTCCTTGCTTATTTGTAAGACTATGTCCATTTTCATTGGGAAATGAAATGAGAATGGGAAAAGACCCAATATTCTCTTTCCAGTCCTTGGTTGTTCTTATACACCTTGTGGACACTTCAGCTAAGACAAGAATAGAGCTATGTGACCTTTTTCTTTTCTTTTCTTTTTTTTTTTGACATTTTACCCCTTGTTGCCTGCCTTATTCATACTTAGCTTTAGGTTTAACCAATTATCATTAGTAACTATATTTTTCTGCATCTCTACTCCATCATTGTTCATAGTTGATGATTCTTTAGTACCATAGGAAGTTATCCTGTATTCTCAAGAGTGTGTTTTGTCAAATTATCATTAAACACTGTAGAGGGTTACTGTTTCTCATAAATTATAGCAGAAAAGGCCAACACATTGTGAACTCTCTTCTTGAACTCCCAGAAAATGTGAATGAGTACACAAAGTTAAAACAAAACAACAAATAAGAAATACATCTGAAAATGACTGCAAAACCCTGAAAGATTATGGCTCTTAGCCAGGATTTATTGTATGAGAAACCTTGAGTATTCCCTGTTCTTCTTTGTTTTTACTTGGGTTTCAGATTGCAGTACCATTATAATGTCATCAGACAGAGCTCTTTGAAGGTTAGTTGGAGGAAGCTGTGTAAATGCTGACAATTTCACCCTACATTTACCGTCCTCAGTCTTAGACTCAAGCCTCTTCTTCCCACAATTCCCCTTCTCCTTCCTATTTTTCTATATGGCCCCCAACACATTCCCTTTAGGGAAACCAAGAGGGATAAAAACAAAATAAAACAAAACAAATTCCAAATACTGAGCTATAAAAAAAGTCTTAGAGTTTTTTTTTACTTGTTGACATTGAAGGTAAAAAAAAAAAATCAATAGGACACCTCCTTCATCCTTTTACATCCTACTTTACTACCGGGATTTTACTGATTTCCAGGTTTGAAAAGCCGTCAGAGGATATTCAAAAACTCTGTGAACATGTGTAGGAGAATTTTGATAGATTAAGAACAAAGTTAACAGTCAAGCCATTCCAAGGATCTTCTGGGGTTTTCTTTTTATTCTCTCTCTCGAAATATTTCAGATGAGATGCCTTTAAAAGACGCAATTAGATGTGTCAGACTACTGATCCTTGACCTCTGGGATTTAGGATGTCTTTTGGAGTCACTCTCTTAAAGAAGAGAATGAGCCTCTTTTTCAACCAGAAAGGGGTGCCTCCCACAGCTAACATGGGAAAGCAAACGCCTTGGGAAGAAAAGCTTTATTACCTGTAATTAATTCATGTTTATTGCAATCTAAGTGGGACCTGACTAAATACCGAGTGTGTGTGTGTGTGTGTGTGTGTGTGTGAGTGTAAGAAGGACTGGGTAGAATGTACCCTCCTCCTTTTTTTAAGAGGAGTTAAAATGATTTAGAAGAAGATTTGTTTTTCACCCAGAAAAGATTAATCTGAGAAACATTTCTTTTGATACATTGCTCATAATTAAAGTAATTCATTTTCTGTTTTCTTTAAGTAAAAACGTGTGGCTTTACTTAACCTCCCATCAATTACCGGTAATTCCCTCAAAGCACAATAATCTTGAACTCCATAAACACACACACCTAATCCTCTATTGACAGAGAAAGGAGCAATGGTTGCCCCTCAACAGAGGAGACTCTAACCTTATTGCAGCTCCAAAATCAGATGCCCCGTGTGCACCAATCTCCAGTTTCCTACTTTCATTGACAGGGGTTTTGACTTTGAAATTCTGCCCTCCGCATTTCACCAATGCGCACAGCCATATGATTCTATTAAAATTATGATGGTAGAAATGTTTGCACAGGAACATTCTTCATTCAAAACATACAGGTAAGTATGTTTTAGTCTTCTTTATACTAGGCACTGAGTACATGATAGTGAGCAAAATAAACATGGTTGCGTCCTTCATGGGGCTTATACTCTGGCGAGGAAGAGAAAAAATAGCCAAATATTTAAAATCTTTAAAGAATTTAAAATAATTACAAAGAAAAATATGGAATACTCTGAGAGTGCCTCATTAGGGAAGCTGATTTATTATATCTATCTATCTATCTATCTATCTATCTGTCATCTATCTATCATCTATTGATACAGTGCAAATAAGTTGGTGGGGGTGGTTTGTCAGATCAGAAAAGTCCTTTCTGAAGAAATGTTTGAGCTAATTTTGGAAGGATGACTCTTATGTTAATACAATGGGATTCAATATAGCAACTAAAAATGACGGAGCAAGAAGAGCAGGCATGAAATCCAGGGATCGAGCATTTCAGACCCTTTGGATTTTAGATTGAGTAGGTGCTAAAAGGAAGAGCAGAGCTTTTGTGCCTGTCCAGCCACCCTCCAAGTGCTGCATCCACCTTCAAAACTGTTTCTGAAGTGAGAGAGTCATGGCTACATTTTGACCACAGGAAGGACAGGGGAGAAGAGAGAGGTATTCTGATCCTTGCGCTGCTTTTTAAGTTTATAATGACAACAGAAGTTCTGAATACAACACGTGTAATTTATGGGTACTAGAAGGAGAGAGCCAAACCTCCCCCATCCTCTGGCTTTCTTTTATTTACTATTAATGGAAAAGACTAAAATTAAATCATTTATTTTGCACAACTTGGTCTGCTGTCATAGAGCTCCTATAAGAGCATCAACCTCATCAATTCCTCCCCTCCTCAGCTTTGCTTGCTGTGGTGCTTCTATCTGTCTGTGGTGGGGCAGTTTGTTTTTTGACTCTTAGGCCCAGATGACCCAATCATCAGGCCAGGGAGAACCACCTGTTTTTGTTAATTTGATGTATTATAATTTAAAGTATTATCAAAAGAGAAAGCTAAACTCATGTTCTATATTAATGCTGGGAACCATCCCGCCTGGTTTCAGGGACTGTAGCCTCGCCAATAGGCAAGAGGGCCCTAAGGCTAGAATAATCAAGGAGGCCTTGGGAAAAGAGGCCCCTGAGGAGATGAAACCTGTCCCCCTAGCAGGGGCACTGCCTTCACATCACCCTGCTTAGCTCTGTGAAGGTCAGTTGTTGATCATGGGTAAGTTTTCTCACAAGGAGAAACAACATAAAACAGACATCGGCTGTATGGGCAGCAGGAAAAGGACTTGGGGGGACATGGAGAAAGGGCAAAAATGCCCGCACCACTCGGCTCAGCTTGGACATGGCTGGAGTCCTCATTCTATCTGAAAGAAGACTCCTTATCTCTTGGTGGCTCTGCCCCATCCACCTGGCTCAGGCTTGAAACAATACTAAAGGCAGGTACAGCCCTAAACTGGATCGGGTGGTTCGGGGAACAATCAAGCCTAGAAGTAAACTCCTCTGAGCATGCTTTGTTCTTCCCTCAAAAGCTATGATAATTGGCTCATACTGGGAAGGAGATTTACATTATTCATATACCTTGACCTGAGGCAGATCTCTTGTGTTCCTTCAATTGCTATCCATGATCTCAGTCTGTTTTCTGTAAACATAGCCTTTTGACATTGATTGATGAGCTTTGTTGTATACCCCTGTGCATATGGTTCTCAGTAAAAGCCTTTGGACATGGGTGTTCAGGGCTTTTCTCACTAGAGGGAAGAGCCATGTCCCCTCTCCTGGCAAACAGAGAAGTGTTTCCAATGACCTGTGTTTATTCCCCATCCTTGAGAACCCCTGGACAGGCTCTGTGGGATTCAGAGTCCCGTTCCCTCCTTAGCTGGCTCCGGGCAGTGACCCTCAGATCCAGGAGCACCAGCACCTGGTGCTCCCCTGCAATGTGCCGCCCCCTGGAACATAAAATAAAATAGTTAAAGCCAATTGTAAATATTTTGTTAGTATTTTGTCTTTATTAATATTACATCTCTCTAATGTTAGCCATTAGCATCCTCCTAAATTAAGTAACAGTTGTTGCTGTTATTTATTAGGTTAGAAACTCAAGTTGAGTTCACAAACATGACTATAATGTTAGATCACTATATTTTGATTAATCTCCAACTAAACACTAAACCCTTAGAGGGCAGTCCCATTCCAGCATGTACAATACCAACCACAGTTGACATAACGGGCCGCCACAGAATTTTGAAAACATGGGAAATATTCTTTTGCAATAATAAGAGCAAGAAATAAAAGGCTGTTTGTGTAAAATAAAATAAATAGTCCTGGCAGTGACTCAGTTGGTTGGAACATTACCCTCTACATCAAGAGTTTGCATATTTGATTCCAGGTCAGGGCACATCGGTGTTTCTCTCTCTTTCCTTCCTTTTCTCTCTAAAAATCAATCAACAGATCCTCAGGTGGGGAATAAAAGATAATAATAAAAATAAAATATATAATACATTGGTAGGTAGAAATGAAGACTATGTTTTTTCTAAGTCTGGACTATATGAATGTAATAATCAGTGGGATGTTTATTTATTTTCTCATTTTTAAAATATAGAATGCTTAATAAATTTGTATAACATCTTTGCATAGAGACCATGTTAATCTTCCTTGTATCATTTGAATTTTAGTCTAGGTGCTCCCAAAGTGAGTACAGTAGGATATGTATTTCAATTCAGTGCTTAGCATAGAATGGGCTATCAGTAAATGCATTTTTAATGGGTAAAAATGATTGATGTACTCATACCCACTTGGCTTAAGGCTTATTACATTCTTATCACCCTATAGTATATAAGTGAATCAGCAAGCTTTTTAAAAATTTTCATTCTATTTTTGTTCACAACAAATTATAGATACACTGATCCTTTTTAAAAAAATAGTCTGAGTCATAGCCTAATTAATGGAAAGAGAAGACCTGAGCACTCTTCCAAGCTCTGAGTGTAGGAGGTTTTAGGTGAGAGGACAGTGAAGGGTTCAAAGGCAGACCTGATATTTGTTCTCAGTAGTATCTTCCACCTCTCTCCCTTTCTTCATCTCCTTCTCCCCTATGTGACTAAGACAAAAACTGAGGAATAAAAAATGAAACTAATTATTTTTGGATCAAAATGTCTCTAAAGATGCAAGCTGAGCAGATCTAAGCTTTGTTAAGTCAGTCCACATGTCAGCCATTAAATATTGGCCACAGAGTTATATCCAGGTGAGAAACGCAGACTAGAAGGAACAATTTAAGGAAAGGTAAGTTAGGGGCTTTTGCTCTGATAGACAGACAGAGTGGGTGGTGAATAGATTGGAAGCAACCCATGCCTAGGACTGTGAACGCGGATGAGACGTTCATGTTCAGGGAAAAATTTCATTTGGCATCTAGCCATGGTAATTTTGGGCTCAATCATGCTAGACTTCAATCAGAATGAGTAACTTCCCTTTAGAATTTAATATCTGTAAAACAATCAAAACTACTTGTCTGGTGGATATACACTAGAGGAAGACAGGCCAATCTACTTCAAGTTATCTCACAAAGACTCTGTCACCTTTACTTCCCTTGCAGTTTGAGTTGGCAGGTTTCTACCTGTCCACATTCATAACACAGTGAAAGAATAGCTCAAGTTCTTAAAAAATGAATAAAATCATTTGAATGTAATACTGACTTTATTTGAATATTTATTTTCAACCCAATAGTTTCCTTTCATGATCTTTTCTCCAGTTGACATAGCTGACAGCAAAGAAAGTCTTCCAGTTTCAACACGTTTGCCTGTTCACTTTTGTCTTTGAGCCTGCGGTTTGCCCTGACACAAAGAACAAACACCAAGGGGTTCAGAGAATAAGAGACATGCTTTGGAAAAGATAAATATGAAAACTGCTATTTATTTTAAAAGGGCAGGTTGAGGTTACGCATCTTTTGAAGACTAATTCTGTAGAATTAGTGTCCTTATTTCACAAAGCAAATAAAATGTCTTCATTTAAAAATTTGACATTTTGATAATTAAAACTTCTTTACCTAAACAAATGAGCTTTTTCTTAAAAAAGGAAAAAAATTAACCTGATAATGACATCTATATCCTTTTACTTCATTTACATGTATAATGTGAAGAATTACCATGTCTTTAATTCTAAGTGAGACTCGAGTACTTTAGAGATCTTTACAGACTGATTTTCTCTGCTCTGTTTCCTCTTAAAGTATTTGTCAAGAGACACTGGCTTTTTTTTAGTCTGCCCCTTTTTCTCCTATACCCTAGAGTGGCATTCTCAAAGGAAGATCCAAGTACTATCTGCATTTGAATAATCTCCACAGTTCATTACAATGCAGATTCCTGGGTTAATTGAAGACAGGTTATAGTACAATGAGACAGTAAACCAAGGAAGAAAATGTGAAACCTAGCAAATAGATGATCCAGTCCAGAAAACTGCACAGGAATCCATACTTAGAGCAGGCTAATGGAAGGCTTGGGAAAAGGTATCAGAGGAAAAAAGGAGACTTAATACTACTCTTGAGACATTAAAAGAATTTAGGAGACAGAAAGGGCAGGAAATGTAAGAGAGAAAAAAAGAAATTTAATTAGGGACACTAAGAAAACAAATAAACTATAAGAAACTAAGTGTAATAATCATACTATGCTACTTGGCATTACAATGGATAATATTTACATGTCATTATAATGTAAGGAGTGGTTAATGACTTTCAATTTCCATAGACAACCTAAAGAGAATTATACAATTGTTAGGAACATAGGCCCTAGAATTCTTATTGGTCTTCTGAATCCAGAAATTTACTTAATTCCTATGTTACTTGATTTCCTTTCTGTAAGATAAAAGTAATAATATTTATATATTTTACTGTCTTGTTGTGGAGCTTAAATAAGTTACTTCACACAAAGCGGTGACAGCGCAACACAGAGAAAGTCCTCCGCAGGTGAGAGCTAAAGCAACAAACTACATACAAAAAACAGGTTCATTGACACAGACCAAAAATGAAATGTTAGTGAACTTGACAATATAAATGTATAAGCCCGATGGCTGAAAATGGGGAAGAATAGTGACATGCAATCAAGAAATATTGTTTATAGTTGATAGAAAAACAAAACTAAATAACAAAAAAGGCAACTAAGAGAAAAACAAAATTTAGCAAAATAATTGTGTGAATGGGTTAAATCATAATCCATTGTAGCAGGAAGCTAATAATAGATTATGACTATAATTAATAAATCAAAATCTGGCATTGTAAGTTTATAATATAGTGATATAGGAAGAAACAGCAGAAGACCAAAAGAAATAAAAGTGGTTCTCTTGGAGGATCAAGGAAGGTAAATACATTTACCTTTAAATATCTTACAATTTTGTCAATTATACATAACTCAATAAAGCTGGGGATAAAAAAGGCAAAAGGGATTTAGAGTGAATTGTTCCAGTTGTAGCAGGAGATTGTAGACAAGAAATACAAGTAATTGTATGATATCTAGAATCTTGCTAGGAATTTCAGGAGACTTTGAGAGCGTGGAAAATATGAAAATGATAGGGAAAAAAATGCCAATTTCTGGATAAAATTAGATCATTTTAAAATAATCTAGTAACTGGTCAGTTACTAGAAACAAATAAACAAAGAAACAAAAGAAACAAAGTGTTACTTTTATTGATGAAGTCAGGAAAAAATCAGAGTACATCTGAAAAACAAGTGAGGCTTAATGTCAATCACTCTTTTATTTCTCCCACCCCTTGAAATCATCAAGCATCACTTGAGGAGGTGTTGGACTGCTGACTTCAAGCTCTTTGGGGTAGCTTTTTCTGTCCAACCCACTCTTCTCCTTCTGGTCTTTTTATTTCCTGGCTGCCGTGTGAACATTTCTGCATCATTAGATTTCCTTTCCTGTGTTCCCAAAGGAAGAGCACATTTGCAGTCAATCCTGGAAACCTGATCTTCATCCTGAATCTTGGCTCAAAATCCACTAGAGATGGATGATATAGGCACTCTCATTTTATTAAGAAAATATGTAATACATACTTACAATAGCAATGCTTGCTTTTGTGAATTTCATCCACGCTTCTTAGTCTAGACCTCACAGAACATGCATTTTTTGGCTGTTTGATTTCTTTGTTCTTTGGTCAGTATCTAAGCCTTTAAAATTCGTAATCCTCTCAAATTATTTGCATAGACTTGAATAATCAATGATGAAAATACTTCATTTGCCAAAACTGACCAGGAGACTTTAAAGGAGTGTGATAAAAACTGCTTTCTCCTGATGACCTTCCACTGCCAGTTCTGAGGTTGGTAGTTCCTATGTTGGCGATGCAGCATGGACGGGGTCGGGAGCAGAAAACTCAGGTTGGGGAAAAGAGCCACCAAGGCTGCCAGGAGCATTTTTATATTGAAGGAAAAGAAAGGAAGGCAGTGTTGCTGCAACTCAGCAGGGGAGAGGGACCCAGGAGGTTAGGCGAGAGAGTTACAGGGGATGGGGAGGTAAGAGAGTTGACTTTGTAGAGCCTGGGAGGCTTTGAAGGACTTTCCTTTTGAGAAAAATTGGAAGATACTGGAAAGTTTTAAGCAAAAGACTGTGAGATTTTTAAACGGTTACTCTGTCTGCTCTTTTGAGGGTAGACCATGTTGAGTAAGAGTATTGAATCAGGGAAGACAAAATAAGGCTACTTCAGTAAACTGGGCCATAGATTGTGCTGGTCTAAGCCAGGAATGTGGTGGTGAAAAAAATGAAAAAGGATTGGATTCTGGATCCATTTTGAAGATAGAAGCAATAGGATGTCACTATCACTTGAACGCTGGGATGTAAGTGAAAAGAGAGGAGTCAAGAGTGACTCCAAGATCACGGCCTGCACAACTGGAAGGATGGAATTCCCATTTACTGATGCACGTATATATCTTCAGGTAGAACAAGTTGGTTTAGAGAGATTTGGAGTTCAGTGTAAGAAATATCAAATTGAAGAACTCTGTTACAAATACAAATAGAAAGTTGATAAAAGTATGCAAGAAATACATGTCTAACTTTTTAAATATTTTTTACAAAAAATGAATTCACACAGAATATATATAACAAGATAAATTTATAGCCTAATGATAATCTTGGATCTTCCACATAAAAATGCTATGACATATTGTTATTTTGTTGAATAACAATTATAAATGCTCTAAAAATATTCTCAAAATAAAGCATAATACTGACGCTTGGAGATAAAAATCTTTTACCCTCATTCTCAAAATTGACACCAATGAGCCCCCAAAGCCCGAGGGTCCTTACTATCAGATCATCCATTGTTATAATAAAGCGTGTCATGTCAAAATTCATCAGGCATTTTCACAAAGCATATTTTACATTTGACTTGCCTCTAAGCATTTAGATATTTTTTTTTCCCTGAAGCCACCTGTAAAGTTAGATTAGATAATTCTTAAGAGTTTAATTTTACTCAGGTGTGCTGACAAGCACAAACAATAAATCCCTGGGAAATTTCCAGATTTCAGCTGTTCTTTGTCTATGCAAGTGGAATGAACCCCCCCGAAAAAGGGCAGAGTTTAATTTACTCATTTTTCCCTTTATTGAAGAATCTGTAGCCAGTATCTGTGATTGGAGAGAGCCCTAATCTTTGCGTTAGGGCAAATCCACGCTGGAGATACAAGTCTACTGTAAGGGATCCTGAGGGACTTGAGGCTTGAGAA